CACACCCCACGGGAGCACCCCAAGATGGGGGACACCAGAGCAAAGAGGCACCCATGGGTGAGCACAACCCCTTCTCCACACCCCCATCCCCTCCACACCCCACGGGAGCACCCCAAGACGGGGGACACCAGAGCAAAGAGGCACCCAAGGGTGAGCACAACCCCTTCTCCCCGGGCACCCACAACCCCGGGCGTAAAACCATGTCCCACGGGGTCGGAGCCCACCCATCCACGTGACCATGGAGCCCTGAATTGATTTTACACCCAAAATTGATTTTACACCCAAAATTGATTTACACCCAAATTTGATTTACACCCAGTGAGAACTTCTGGACATCTTGCTACGGTCAAAGGGTCCAACGGGGAGGGGGAGAAGGGACCAGAGACAAAGGAAGGTTAAAATATGGAAGGGCTGCACCCTCGTTAACCCTCGTTAGGGCAGGAACTGCTGGGGCACTGCCAGCAGAGCATCCGTGGAACCGGGCAAAGTAACCGGGCAAACAGAGCAAGGAGGAGATGGGAAAGGGCTGCCCCACGCAGGGCTGGGGGAGTGGGTGCCACCCCCCTGGGCAGGGTGTTTGGGGGCTTTTTGGGGTGAATCCCCCCCAGATCTCCCGACCCGATGGGAAAGGGGATGAGGCAAAACCCCGGGTTCAGCTCAGCTGGAGAGGAGAGAAGGTGGGGACACGAGGAGGAACTCACCAGGATGGAGTCCACCTTGTTCTGCACGGATTTGCTGGGAGGGACAGAGAGGAAAAGTGTCGGCGCCATCCCCTCCACACCCCACGGGAGCACCCCAAGATGGGGGACACCAGAGCAAAGAGGCACCCATGGGTGAGCACAACCCCTTCTCCACGGGCACCCACAACCCCGGGCGTAAAACCATGTCCCACGGGGTCGGAGCCCACCCATCCACGTGACCATGGAGCCCTGAATTGATTTTACACCCAAAATTGATTTTACACCCAAAATTGATTTACACCCAAATTTGATTTACACCCAGGCTGCCCTGGTACCCAGCCCTGGGGCTGAGCAGGGCACACCACCGGAGACCAGGGCCACTCTGCAGCCCTGTGCTCCCCGGGGCTGCCAATTAATTGATATTATTAAATTAACCCCGCGTTTGGCAACACCGGGATGAACCGGAGGAGCTGCCCTTACGAGATGGTGCTCTTCAGCTCCTGCAGGAGGGTGCTGGACTCGGTGGCGCAGCCCCGGGAGCCACCGGGGGACAAACTTCCCTTTTTGGTGGCCCGGGCGCTCAGGTCCTCCTCAGCCATGGCATCCGGGGCCCGCCGGGAGCTGGAAACCAACAATTCCACTAAAAAAATTAAAAAAAAAAGGGGTAAGAAACCCCCCTTCAGAGCCCCACAGCCCAGAGCTCGCCCACCCTCAGCCCCCGTCCCTCCTGGTCCACGGATGAGCCCCGGCCACCAAAGGACATGGAAATGTCCCCAGTGGTCCCAAGAGAGGAGGTTCCCAAGAGACTGACCTGCACCTTGTTCCTGCAGGGGACAGGGGTGCTGGGGGACACCAAGGAGGGCCAGGAGGTCCCCACAGGGCTGGGGATGCTGAGGGGGACCATGACAGTCCCACGGGTCCTGGGTGCAAGGCCCCACAGGGGACGGGGACAGGAGAACAGGGATGACATGGGCAGCAGGAGGGCAGGTCCCCAGGGGAGATGGGGACAGGGACACCAAGAAGAGAAAGGTCCCCAGGGACAGGGACACCAGCAAAGCAAGTCCCCAGGGAGATGAGGACAGCAAGAGGAGAAAGGTCCCCAAGCTCTTGGGGACAGGGACACCAGGAAGGCAGGTCCCCAAGAAGATGTGGACAGAGACACCAGGAGGACAAAGATCCCCAGGGGAACAGGGACATGGGACAGCAGGAGGAGAGAGGTCCCCAAGGACAGGGACACCGGGAAAGCAGGTCCCAAGGGAGATGGGGACAGGGACAGCAGCAGGACAGAGGCCCCCAGGAGCTTGGGGACAGGGACAGCAGGAGGAGAGAGGTCCCCAAGGACAGGGATACCGGGAGGACAGGTCTCCAGGAAGATGGGGATAGAGACACCAGCAGAGCAGGTCCCGAGGGAGATGGGGACAGGGACAGGAGGAGGACAGGCCCCCAGGAGCTTGGGGACAGGGCCACCAGCATGACAGAGGCCCCCAGGGACAGTGACACCAGGAGAGCAGGTCCCCAGGGAGATGGGGACAGAGACACCAGCAGGATGGAGGTCCCCAGGATCTTGGGGACAGGGCCAGCAGGAGGAGAGAGGTCCTCAAGGAGAGGAACAGGAGGAGGACAGGTCCCCAGGAGCTTGGGGACAGGGACAGGAGGAGGAGAGAGGTCCCCAAGGAGAGGGACAGGAGGAGGACAGGTCCCCAGGAGCTTGGGGACAGAAGGAGGACAGGTCTCCAGGGAGATGGGGACAGGGACAGCAGGAGGAGAGAGGTCCCCAAGGAGAGGGACAGGAGGAGGACAGGTCCCCAGGAGCTTGGGGACAGGGACAGGAGGAGGAGAGAGGTCCCCAAGGAGAGGGACAGGAGGAGGACAGGTCCCCAGGAGCTTGGGGACAGGGACAGGAGGAGGAGAGAGGTCCCCAAGGAGAGGGACAGGAGGAAGACAGGTCCCCAGGACCTTGGGGACAGGGCCACCAGCAGGACACGTCCCCGAGGACCGGGACAGCAGGAGGGGAGGCCGACGCGGGGGTGGCCAGGGGTACCGGAGCCCCGTAACAGCGCAGCGCTGCCGGTGGCGGGGAGGGCCCGGTGGGGCGGGGGTGGCACCGGAGCGGACCGACACCCCCCTCCCCTCCCCGCCCCGTCCCGTCCCGTCCCGCACCCACCTGCGGGCGGCTGCAGCCGTGGCGCGGCCTGGCCCTCACGCCGGTGCGGTCCGGGCCTGTCCCGTCCCCTCCGGTCCCCTCCGGTCCCCGCCACGTGCCGCCGCCCCGCGCGCAACAGGAACCGAAAGCGCTGCGCCCCACCGGGCCCCGCGCCGGCCGCTTCTTTTATTTTTTTATTTTCTTTTTTTTCTGATTGGCCGCCGCCCCGCCGGTCTGCCCGGATACTGCGCCCTCCTTTAATCCCATTGGTCGCTCCGCTTTTTCCTACCCGGATACAAGCGGCGTCCGTCTCCTTGAGTGGCGGCGGCTCGGGGACGGGGGGCGAAGTCTGCCTAGTAACAGGCTTCTGATTGGCGGGGGCGGGTGGAGGAGGAAGCAAGGCGTGTGCGGGGCTTGTGTGCAACGCGTGTGTGTGTGTGCGCACACGTGTAATGTGTGCGTGGCGAGAGATAGCGGTTGTTTTGCTTAAATTAATGAGTTTAATCAAGGTGTGTCCCCCCTTGTCGCACCCCGGCCCAGGTTGCCCCAAATGTGGGGGTCTGGGGATGGGTGTGAACACTTTTTGGGGGGGCAGCTGCTCTTCCAACATATGTGTGTACGCACAGAACATGTGCATGGCACGTATGTGTGCACACAACATGCGTGTGCAGGTGTCCGTGCAAGCCAGGGACTCCCACACCCGACGTGGAAACCAGCTTTGCTTTTTTGGGAGAAAACACCAAGCCAGGAAAGGAAAATCCCATCTTTAAGGAAAGGTTTGTGGTGTCGTGTCCCTGGTTTGGTCACACGTTTGTTTTCTGACTCCTGAAAACAGCTTAAAAATGAGATTTGAGGCGAGGAGAGCAGCAGTGAGAGGAGGAGGAGGATGACAACAACCCCTGGGTTTATTTAAGCAAGAGTGGGATGCACGGGTGGAACCCCCCCAGCCCTCGTGTGCTGGGGTTTTGGGGGTGTCTAGACCCAAATATCGGAGGTGCAGTCCCCACCGGGGTAGCGGATCTCGTGCGCCAGGCAGGGCCCCTCGGGCTCCTTCCCAAAATCCACCAGGAAGCTCCTGTTGACCGTCAGCCCTCCCTGCTCCGTGTCCACGTCCAGCTGCAGCATGACGGAGCCCTCCCTGCGGGGGTGACAGCGGGGAAGGTGGGGGTCCCAGGTACCCCTGTCCCCCCATAGAGCAGGGACCTGCCCCAAGGAGTTGCCAAAACTTGGTCCCCGGGCTGTGGGGTCCACACCTCCCACCCGACGAGCTGCCATCATCATCCTCGTTGGTCCAGGTGTCCTTACCTGAGGAGGTCGGGGTAGAACTGCCTGTCCCAGGCGCTGTAGAGGGAGGTGGTGACGTACAGCCGCTTCCCGTCCAAGCTCAGCTGGATCATCTGGGGTCCCCCCGGCACCCTCTTCCCCTGGGGAGGAGCAGACGTGCTGTGGGACCAGGGGACACCTCTCCCACCCCCCAGCCCGGCGGCACGGGATGCCGTGTCCATCCCATGGGATGGGGTGAGCAGAACCTCATGGATTTGCTCCCCAGGCTGGGGTTTTGGGGACATGGCCAAGCTCACCTTGATGAAGAAGGGCTCTGGTTGGCTCTGCAGCTCTTGGTCCTCGCACACCGTCACGGGTCCTCCCTTGGAGATGCTGCCACCCACAAAGACCTGCGAGAAACCAAAGGTCTGGGTGGCCGAGAAGGCAAGGAAGGGCTGATCCCAGCCCAGGAGATGGAGGAAAAGCACTGGGATGTGACCAGGAGGTGGCCGCTGCCCCACCTGCCCCACCAGCTTGGGCTGGCGCGTGTTGGAGATGTCGTACTGGCGGATGTCCCCGTGCAGCCAGTTGCTGAAGTACAGGAACCGGTCATCCAGCGAGATGAGGATGTCGGTGATGAAGCCTTGGGGAAGGTACGGCAGAGCTGCACAAAGGGCCGGCACCGGGGGCCCTGGGGGACCTGGGGAGCACCTCGGGGTGCATCGGCCCAGGGACACACTGACCTGGCATCTCCGGCAGGAGCCATCCCTCCACCTTCTTGCTGGGGACTTGGATCACCTTCTCGGCCGCCCAGTCTCCTCGCTGTGGGAGGTGGGGGACAGAGCATGGCCCCGGGGGGCTCAGGGTGTGCAACAGAGGCAGGAGAAGACACGATGCTGGGGCAGATGCTCCGTGCACGTATCCACCACCTCTTGTCTCTGGTGCAGCTCAGCTGCAAGAAACCTCACCTCTGCAGCGCCGCGGGGAATGTGGGCTCTGGGACATGAGTAAGGGCTTTGGGGGCCAAAAACTGGTCTAATTTTCCAGCTGGATTAGCTGGTTTGGTGGAAAGTGTTCTCTCTCCTCACCCAGTTCATCATTACACACAACAACAGACACCGAGAGTAGTGCTTGGGCTGTTGTAAATCCACAACAAAGGTATAAATAAACCTCCTTTAAATGAAACCATTTCAGCCTAAACTGCTGCCAGTCTGAACAAGTCCTCTGGTGAGATCGCCCCAAACCAGCTCCCGTTCTGGGTGCTCTGGTGGGGACTGGAGCTGTGCTGGGAGGAGGGGGGGGGATGCGGGCAGAGGGGCTTCACCGAGGGACCTCCACCAGCCCCAGGGGAGCACCCACCTCCGTCCTGTAGAAGCGGTGGATGGCGCTGCTGATGGTGCAGCCCACGAAGCCCTCGGCGGCGTCGGGGTTGTGGAGGAAGCGGATCTCCAGGGGGGCTGCATCCTCCCCCACGTCGATGGCCTGGACGTAGGCGTGAGTGGTCCAGTCCCAGACGTTGAGGCGGCGTCCGTAGCGCCCTGGGAGGGGGGATCAGAGGGGCTGCTGTGAGTCACAGGGTCTTAAGCAGATGTGCCAATGGGTTCCTCAGCCCTTTGAGCCCCCCCATAGCCCCTGCACCAGCACACGCCGGTCGCTTTGGACCTTGGCAAAGGTGCCCAGCATCCAACGGGGACCATCTCGCTGGACCGGGCAGTTTAACCTTTGAGGGGGGGGTTGGGCTGAGATGGGGCTTCACCCTTCGTCCCCACGGCCAAAATCCAGCCCCACACACAGCTGAGCAGCAGCAGGTATGGACTGTCTCGGGTTGGTGCTTGCATCTAAGGGGTGTTTCACGGGGCTCATCTTTTTTTCAAATTCATGGGATCGCCAGGAATTGGCGTGAAATTCGTTTTGCAAGCAAAGTGTCTCAGACAATCGTAGCTACAGTCAGACTGTCAGCTCTCACTGCCAACAGAAGAGGGTTGAAACTCGCCCTTCCTGTGGTTCTGCCCAGCATCTCTGCCCCGGAGCAGTTAAACAACTGTTTTCTCACCTTTCTTCAGGTCATTGGGGTTAAACCCGTATCCCAGGCATTTGGGGACTCCCCACTCGGTGCTGATCAGGACGTTGTGACGTGGCTGGTACCAGAAGTCATAACCCATCGGGGGGACCTCGTCCCCTCTCTCCCAGTTCCCCTTGATCTCAAAGGTCTCTCCATCCAGCAGAATAAAACCCCCTGGTCCAAAAACCAACCACCACATCCATAGTGAGGAAACCATCCAGATTAAGAGTTTACATGTTCTAAAACAAGCAGCAACAGGCAGAGCAACCTGTTGCAGACCAGGCTGCTGAACAGGCAAAGCCACCAGGATGGGGGGACTGTTCCTCCTGCCCCAACACCCTCTCCCAGGCAAAGCCACCAGGATGGGGGGACTGTTCTTCCTGCCCCAACACCCTCTCCCGGGGCACTGGGAGGACTGGAGGGACTGGGGTACCTTTCCCGTTGCCGGCTGGGTCTCCCAGGACACTGATCATGATTTCCCCGCTGCCCAGGCAGTGGGAGGTGTGGGGGTAGCCCAGGTTGCACTTCCAGAAGACGTCCTCGGGGTTGACAACCTGCCGGGGAGTTGGCAGCCACTGTTAGTCCAGGTTGCCCTGGGCCAGCAGGATCACAAGCCCAGTGTCACCCTGTGGCCTGTAGGAGCTGCCTGGCCCTGAGATGGGACTTGCCGAGCAGCCGAGGGGCTGAGAGAGCGTGAACCCAGGCAGAGGGTGCACGGTCTCTGGTCCCCTCCTGCACGGAGCTGGATGGAGAACTCAATATTCGCACATCAGCCCAAGAACAACCAACTTCCAGAGCCCTCCCGTACCATCAGCCCGACGTCAGGGTCCTGCCAAAGCTCTTAGATGTTCCCCAGAGCCTCTTTGCCAAGGTGTCCTCCCAGCCAGAAGCCCTGATCCCAGAGGTGTCGGCAGCACCTCCAGGGTACCTTGAAAAGCCTGGGAGCTCGCGGGTCGGTCCCCACGTCCACCACGTAGATGCGGGAGGAGATCAAGCTGGGGAGGATGAGGCGGTTCCGCTTCTTGGAGGTGTCCCCAAAGCAGCTGCTGCAGGTGTTCCAGCCCGAGTGGTGCAGCTCGTCCCCCAGGTTGGGCATGGGCAGGCGGTGGATCACCTGCAGAGCCCCCAGACCCACTTACCCCCATCTTTCCCCCTGCCCGGTGAGGGATCATGGGCAGAGGGGGGAGCTCAGACCCTCGCAGACCCCACCGTAGGGTCAGGGTGCCCCCACAAAGCCTCACCCCACAGAGGGGAGCGATGGTGCCCAGGGGATGCCAAGAATGGGGTGCCAAGGGGATTTTACATTCCTAAGCATAGGAAAGCTCAGAGTCTTGGGGAGAATTGGACAGGCAGCTTGGGGGGGCACGAAGGACAAGGGCTGAGCTGCTTCCCAGGGTGGTTTAGAAGGTATTTGGTACCTGGCAATAGTGAGGAGATTTGGGGTCGACGTCCACAGTGGCCAGAAAGTCGGGTTTCTTTCTCCCAGTGTTCCTGTAGATGCAGGGAATGTACACAATCTCCTCCCGGGGACCTTCCGACACAGGAACATTGTGTGAGCATCAGCAGAAAGCATGTTTGATGGAATAAAAACCTTGCAGGAGTCTCTGGCTGGACTGGGTCTCCCTGCCAGGGGGCTGGTGTGTTCCCCCCTCTCTCTATGGGGCAGCTGGATCCCCATCTCTCTGCTGCCCCACGGGCTCAGCTGGGAGGGGGCTGCCCAGTGGGGATTTGGGCTTGTTCAGTCTGAGGGTGCCCTTGCCCAACAAAAGGTTGATGGTTGGACTCAATGATCTTTAAGGTCCCTTCCAACCTAGACGATCCTATGATTCTAAGGGATCTCCAGACCTCGGAGTCCCTAAGGAACCCCATGGCTCTGGGATCACCCCGTGCCTGCGAGGACTTGTCGGCCCTTCCCCAGTCCTATCAGTCACGCAGATCAAACCACCTCCTGTCTCATTTCCATCACATCTCCATGGGAGAAGCCTTACAAGCCCATGAAGTGCTAAGGCAGAACGCTCACCAGGCTAAAGTCAAGGGCAGGAAGCCCTCCAAGCCCCCGGGTGGTCCCAAGCAGTGAAAATCTGCTGTGATGCAGTGGCAGAAGAGCTCCCTTCCCACAGAGCATCTCCTGGGAAAAGGAAAAGGTCCCTGCTCCCCAGAGAGGACCACTCAGACCCCGTGGCGTCTCCTTATCACCGCAGAGGTGGTGCTCACTCCCCGCTGTGTCAGCATAAAGGGCTGCCAAAGCGGGGGCTGGTGGGGAAGAACTGGTTTAGGAAATGCTGAGGAAGAGAGAGCGGTGGGAAGCAGGGAGAGAGAGGGGATGTGGGACCTTCAGGTTGTCCCAAGCAGTGAAAATCTGCTGTGATGCAGAGGCAGAAGAGCTCCCTTCCCACACAGCATCCCCTGGGAAAGGGAAAAGGTCCCTGCTCCCCAGAGGGGACCACTCAGACCCCGTGGCGTCTCCTTATCACCGCAGAGGTGGTGCTCACTCCCCGCTGTGTCAGCATAAAGGGCTGCCAAAGCGGGGGCTGGTGGGGAAGAACTGGTTTAGGAAATGCTGAGGAAGAGAGAGCGGTGGGAAGCAGGGAGAGAGAGGGGATGTGGGACCTTCAGGTTGGATTCAAACAGGTAATGGCTGGCTCTGCCGTGTGTAAACCCTCACACAGCGGTGCCCGAGTCACTCTGGGGATGGAGAGCGGCTGCCAAAGGCCGGGGGATCCCATCCCCGCAGCTTCAGTGCCACCAAAATTCAGGCAACGGGACCAGGCACTGAGTTTCCATCCTCACCCATCCACCGAGGGATCCAAGGGACACCCAGGAGCTTCTCACCACCATCTCGGCCACCCAACCTGCCAGAGCTCTGTGTGGAAGAGCTCCTGGGTGCCAAAGTTACTCGGCACGGCTGAGGCAGCCAGATAATTCCCAAGGGAATTGCCAGGGTGGCAGAGTCAGTGGGATTTGTGCTGTTTGCTGTTCAGTTCAATCTCTGTCCAGCCCTGCCAGCACATGGGGGTGTTTTAGAGACTCCCCTCTTTGTTTTACTCTTGGTTCAAAGACGTTTCACGGGTAGGACTCACAGATGGTGAGCAAGCTCCAGAGCTCCCTGAGGTCCCGAGGAGGTGTTTGCTAAACCCTAGAGAAGCGGATTAAGGGAGGGATAGCTGGAGATGATGCATTCCTTGGTCTCACACCAGAGCCCCAGCGTTTCGGCAGTGTCCAGACACGTAGGGAAGCAGCCCATGAGGCTTTTATACAAGGAGGTTTGGTCACAGGGCAATCATGGCCATGGGGAGCAGAGTGCAATGAAAAATCCCCTCTCACTCCCCGGGTTTAGCTCTGGTGCCGGTGTCACGGGGCGACGGCGAAACAACTGCCTCTGAGAAACTTAAAAATCCCATTTGGTTTTGCAGGGGGAGGCCAGAGGTGAGTTTGCCACCGGCTGTGACCCAGCCCAAAGCCATCAGGGAACCTACAAAGGTTTGTTCCGACACCATCCCTCCTTATGCAACTGGCGTTTGGCCTCGGGACGGGCCAGAAGCAAAATCAGCGCTTCCCCAACGCCTCCTCGGAGAATGGAGTTAATTGAAGACACCCCTCCTGAAAGCAGTGATTTAATTGTCACCCACATCACAGACAATGCAGGGCTCTGCCCTGGATCTCAGACTTGCCTTTCATCGCATCCAGCGGCGAGGCGTAGCCAGGACCACACGCTCCACACTTCTCTGCATTGAGAAAAACAGAAAATAGGTGACAGTGAGTTCTTTTAATCCCTCTTTTTTGAAGGAACCACCCTCTGGAGTGGCTGCACACACTCCCCTCTGTGGCAATACCCAAAGCAGGATGTCCACGTGCACCCAGAGGACCCCTGGGAAGGTTTGGGGTTCAAAAAGGCAGTGATAAAGTGATATATTCCTGGTGCAGAAAGGCACCAGGCTCAGAGCCACGTTTCTCTGCCCTGATGGGGGAGAGAAAGGGCTGCTCAACACACACAGGGACAATGTCCAGCTCAAGGGGACACAGAGCTCTGGGTTCTCCTGCGAGGAGGAGGAGGAGAGGCAGCGAGGGAGAAAGGCAGAATGGCTGGGCTGCTGCCTGAAGGAGCTTCTGCAGGAGCCAGAGGCAGAGGGAGGGGAGAGGGCACTTCTCTGGGCCTTGCTTTGGGGCATTAATGGAAAACTTCCGCACAGAAAACCCTGTTTGCACCCAAAAAGTTCACTGCTCAAGGCGTTGCCTCCTCCCCAGCCCCAAGCACCATCCTGGGAGCCCCCATCACGCTGCTGCGGGTCTCCGGGGCGCTGCCAACCCTGCCCACCTCCTCCTGCAAAGGGCTCCAAAACTGCTGAGAGCACTGCCGTGGGTGCAGTTCAACGAGAGCTTGGTAGGAAACAACCACCACCAAGAGGATCCCTCCCCCCCGCTGAGGAGATGGGGGAAAACCCCCAGCTAAACTGTGCGAGGGCTCTGCTGCCTCACCTTCTTGTTTATTTCTATTCTTATTCCTTTTACCACTCCTGTCCCTGCTCCTCCAGGGAAGCACGGAGAGGCCACCCCTCCAGCTGGCTTCTCCCTTCTCCTCTCACCAACCCCTGCAACCACCCCTTTCCTGGCCAGAGAAAACGCCACCTTCACCCCCACCTTCCTTTTCACTTTGGGCTTTCTGGGTGTCGGAGGAACCAAGCCAGGAGCCCCAGCTCCCGAGGGGTTCAGGAGGACGCCGGCGCAGAGCCCAAGGGCCAGAAGGCACCCAGGCACCCACAGCCCCGAGCCCTCTGGAAAGGGTGTCAAGGGAGAGATCTCTTACCCACGCTGGAGGCTTGGGAGGACCTCGTCTGCTGAGGAGCAGCAGAAGGAGCTGATCTTGCCTGCATTCTGCCTGCCAGGACCGAGCCGAGAGAGAGAGAGGACGCAGCTCTGCGGGGGTTCCAATATATAGGGAGCAGGACGGGGAGAAGGAGGGCTTGGAAAAGGGACGCCGAGGGGAGGATCCACACGCCTGGGGCCGTGGGAGGCACCGGGGCAGCCTCCAGCCTCCAGACAGTGCGTGCAGGGAAGCTATTTCAGTGCTTCCCAAACCTCCTCCCCTCCCGGAGGGGCAGGGGACGGGGCTGTTTCTGCACCTCGCACCCCTTCCCACACTGGGGAAACGAGGGGTCTTCTCCACACAGGGAAAGCAGGGGGCTCCTCTCCTCCCATTCCCGGCTGGAAGCAGCCTCTCCAGCCTCCCTGCAGGGCCGAGGAGGTGCCCCCGACCAGCGATGGGCAAGCGCCACCTTCCCAACCACAGGAGTGATTTTCCGAGGTTGCAGATGTTAATCGCAAGTGAAAAATGAGAAGCGAGGGCCGGGGTTTCTTTTAATTGCAGGATGAGTGTTTACTGTGGGATGTTAATTTGCTGGCGGGGAGGGGGGGGGCAGGAGGGGCGTCTGAGTTAGTCAGAGGCTGTTCCTGCTGCTGGCGGCGGAGCTGGGCGTCAGGCAGACGGCCCGGGCTGCGTGGCGGGGGCTCGCCCACGCCGCCTCTGTCCCCTCCAGGTGCCCACCCCAGGCGTGGACTCGAGGACTTGAGAAAGCTCAGCCCATCAGGGGCTCTCGGCCCATCACACCTGAGGATCACCAGCAAAAAACACATGGTCTGGGCTCAACCTCACCAAGATGATTCAAGGATTGGAGCATCTCCCTGATGAGGAGAGACTGAGAGAGCTGGGACTCTTTAGTCTGGAGAAGAGAAGGCTGAGGGGAGACCTTCTCAATGCCTACAAGTATCTCAAGGGAGGGTTGAAGGAGGAGGGAGCCAGACTCTTTTCAGTGGTTCCCAGTGAGAGGACGAGGGGCAACGGGCACAAGTTGGACCAGAAGAGGTTCCACTCAAATATGAGGAGAAACTTCTTCACGGTGAGGGTGGCAGAGCCCTGGGACAGGCTGCCCAGGGAGGGTGTGGAGTCCCCTTCCTTGGAGATTTTCAAGACCCGCCTGGATGCTCCTGAGTAACATGCTCTAGCTCTGGGCAATCCTGCTTCAGCAGGGGAGTTGGACTAGATGATCTCTATGGTCCCTTCCAACTCTAAAATTCAGTGAAATTCAGTGAAAGGTGGGCTCGTCGCTTCGTGCTCGACGCTCAACCCCGCGCTGTGGAGGAACTGCAGAGTCCCACCGCCCCGGTCCCCCCTGTCCCACCTTGCCTTGGACCAAGGAAAGTTTCTCCAGGAGGCCCCAGGGGTTAAATGCAAAGGTCAAGGCAGGTATGAGCACCTACCAACTTCTTCTGGACCTTCCAGCCTCCTCCATAGGAATGTCCCTGGGGCAGGTCGGCAAGAGTGCCATAGGGGGGACAATTCCCACAGGGAAGAGGGGGGATGCCAGCAGTGTCCGTCCCCATGGACAGCTGTTGGAGGCTGTGAAGGGCTGGCACCAAGGAGAAGATCTTCCAAATAACCACTAGAGGGAACAACCAAAGCATCCAGCCTCCAGAGAACTCATGCCCAAGGAGGAGGAAAAGCCCATGCTCCCCAAGACATGGAAATCAGGACCCAAAGACCTGGGAACGGGCCTTGGAGGGGGTGAAGGAGTTTGCTCGTACCAGCAGAAATATGTCCACGTCCATCCAACCTGGGCAGAGCAGAAGGAAGCGCTGGGTCACGTTTGCTGCTGCTGATCTTCATGGCCCAGCAAAAAGCACGGGCTGAGTCCTGGCCTCGCCGGGCCACCACCTGCAAGGCAGAGAGGGTGGTCAGTCAACGGCGTGAGGGACACCCCACAAACACACGGTGGGGGAGCCCTTCCCTGCCTTCAGGGGGATGGTGCCTGGCCCCGTCCCACGGAGGGGTTTCCAGGGTGGACTCAGCACAGCCACCTTCAGTGGCCTGGACTTGGGGATGGGGGTGTCTGCTGGCCAGAGCCCTCCTGCCAGTGGGGAAGAGGAGGCACCTCTACCCACATACAGGCTTTGTGGGGTCCCTCAACAGCAGGGAGGTCCCCCAAGAAGGCCCTCAAACGAGGCAGCTCTGGAGGACCAGAATGGGGTGTCCCACTCAAGCAGCCCCCCAGGGATGTCTCTCACCCCTGAAGCTCAGGACCTGGTCTGATGTCACTCTCCTGCTCGGGGACAAGAGGCCCCGCAGGGGACAGTTTCTCACAGAACCCTTGGTGACTGCAGTGAAGCCACCAAACAGTTCTCCAGAAGGGATTGTTTTTCTCCTGGGACCATCAATGGTGCACAGGGGAGCTGTAGCAAGATGTTTGGGAAGTGTGGGAAGTGTGATGGAAGAAAGTGAAGACCTTTTCTTCCAAGGCAAAATGTAAGAAGCTAACATTCAAAGGGATTCACATTATATCCACATTTTGGCAGCCTCTGGGCTTCAGGAGGACCAACAGCCACTGTGGGGCAGCCAGTGTTTCTGTCGTAGGGATTTATAAACCCCAGACCTAATCACCAACCACTGCTGGAAACAACATGGAAAGGCTTCAATGAAACAAGGCACATGAGGATGCAGCTGATGCGATGAGCAATTTTATTCATGTTTAAAGCAGAACATAAGAGCAGAGCAGTGGCAGGAAAACAGGCACCTCTTTTCAGAACGAAGCACTTCATATTCCTTCTGCGGTGACGCAGAGCGACCCGGGGACGTGCCAGGGAGCCAGGAGAAGACTATCCAGGAACCACCTGGCTGGAGAACAGCAACGCAGACAAACTGGGCACTTCACTTTCTCTTGCCTTAGTACTCAAGGGTGAACGAGCTCTGACTCATACCGGAGCGTCCCACACCTTGTGCCGGCCCCGGGACTAGAGAGCAATAGCCAAGAGGCTGGGGAGGGCCAGGCAGGTGGCCCACAGGCCCATGGCAACCAACCGAGGTGTGTGGAGGGACCTGCTGAGAGGCACTGTGTGTCCTGCACACCTCACAGCTCCGCACTCGCCCCGGGCTCTGCCCCCAGGGAGGGCTCTGCTCTGACACCAGCTCTCACAAGGTGCCCTGTGTCTCTGCTCACTGCTCTGCCCAAACCAAACCCTGGCACGAGGCCGAGCTGCCCTGGCTCCTTAGCACAAATCGAGACTCCAGCAATGAACGGGGACCCCCAGACCCAATTTCCCTACGCTCTTTTCTAACGGCTGCACTACAGGAGAGAGAGGAGGAGGGAGTCTCTCAGGGGCGCCCTAGGCCAGGATATCGGAGGTGGAATCCCCACAGGCAAAGTGGATCTCGTGGGCAAGGCAAGGCCCGTTGGGCTCCTTCCCAAAATCCACCAGGAAGTTCTTGTTCACCGTCAGGCCTCCTTTCTCAGTGTCCACGTCAATCTGCAGCATGACAGAGCCTTCCCTGCAGGGGACAAGAGCGCAGCCGTTACAGACAAGAAACCAGGGTCCTGATCAGGAGACCCTGCACTTCATCTCCTGCTCCTCTCTCCTTCACAGCTTGGCTTCTACAGGGAGAAGGCTCCACCAGTGACAGACACCAGTGCTCACCTTTTGTCCCTGGAGTCTCAAGGGATGGGAGTAAAAGCACGGAGTGACAGGGTGGCCGGAGCTTGCCTTGTGCTGGAGCTCATGGTCTGCTTTGCTAAATCAAACCATCTCTGCTGAATCTAAACTCCCCCTTTTCCTCCCAGCTGTGCTCACCTGACCATGTTGGGGTAGAACTGCTTGTCCCACGTGCTGTAGAAGGAGTTGGTGACGTACAGCCTCTTGCCATCCAGGCTGAGCTGCAGTTTGCAGGGGCCGCCGTACACCCTCTTGCACTGAAGGCACAACAGACAGCACTCGTGTTAGCACCAGGAAGCACCAGCAGGGACGGGGCAGCAGAGCAACTGCCTCCCCCAAAGAGGTCCAAAGGAGCCCGGGGGGCAAAGAGGCCACAGAACTCACCTTGATCACCAAGGGCTCGGGCTGGCACTTCAGCTCTTCGTCTCTGCAGACCGTCACGGGGCCGCCCCTGAGGATGCTGCCTCCCACAAACACCTGGGAGAGAGGCAGGGGCAGAGGTGAGGCCTTGGCATCCAGCCCCCACCAGACCCTGGCAAGG